TACTAATCAAGGCTATAACCTGACTATTGTACTTCTCAGTGTCCAATCTACCACCAAGAGACCTTCACTGAGTCTCTGACATGGATTATTCTCCAACTTGGTGACACGTTAATTATACTGAAATGGACAATAATTCATCTTGACTTGAATTAATATATGTGCCATGTGTGAGTTTGCCTATCTACCCACAGTGTTTCTGACAGTACCACTAACAGCGCTTGCACACCAGAAGATATCATGTAATATCTCTTGAGACTGAAGGACTGTGGATACAAGACCTAGGGTCCACTGGTTCTATTACATAACACATCCTCTAGAAGCTGCTGGTCTGATGTAGTGATGGACTTGAGTCTTGAAGGCATAAGTAGTTCCAATTTGGAGATGACAATCTGGAAAAATGAGGCCCTATCTTCTAGGATTTTATATACACCCTAAACTAAAAGGTTGAATAAAAGATCTAGAAACCAACAGGTAGAAATGGGAGTGGGTTTATCATTATCCTCTGGAACATCTATGAATCTGTCTACCATCATGAATATCTTAGGAGCTGCGTATGGGTCTAGGGCTTTTAGATATTAGAAAGAACACATCACTATCAGAGGACCAGAGAATAACTTTAAATTTTGTACTCTGACAGTCAACCTGCTGTTTCAGTTTTCTTGTTCCAAGAGATCAGACCACAAGAATAAGAGTCAACACATTGGAAGAGGTTATGGAGGTAACTGATTGCAATTGCCCAGAGGCAGTAGGGCAATGGTTACTCCAGGGCAGGGAAGAAGCACATGACTATCAAGTAAGTGACCCTCTGCCATATGTCTTATTACTTCTCTTCTCAGCTTTGAAGGTAAATGGAGAAAACCAGCCACTGCAGCGTAAGAACACAGTGATCACACATATAGTAACTGCTTTTTAGCAAAGGTGCCAATGGAGGAAATGACAATTTTTTTTCAAAACCTATGATGAAACAACAGGAAGTTCATACAGATAAAATGCAAAGGGGGACAGACCACAGCGAAGGAGTTCCAAGTGACCCATGCTGGAAAAATTTGAGCAACATGATCAAGTAGTACGGATTATAATCTAAAGTATAAAATGAATGTTTATGAGTTCGTGCTCATATAAACAAATGGTTGGATAAATAAGTAAATAAGGGAAGACATAATCCTCCAGGGAGAATTCCGAATAAGTTATGAGGATACTCCACCCAAAGGGAGAAAGCACAACTCTCACTCCTTAATTATGGTAACATGGTACCTTTTGTCTAAAGAATGTAGTACAGAAAAGGAGACGGAAAAAGAATAACTTTACACTGGAGAAATCTAACAAACTATTTCCGCCAAAGGGTAAGGGTAATGGGTACTGACAGTCGTTGCCTGTCGTTGCCAATGGCTAATGAGAAAGATCATTTATCCTTCATGTTTGCCTTTCTAAATCCAGATCCTAATGTCCCACTTTTCTTTAATAATTCCAGCACTGCAGGCTCATGCCTGTCTTGTGAACAGTGTTATCTTTTACTGTTTGTCCTGTGCATCTTCCTACTAAATCCTAGGTTCATGTACTTTAATGCTGAACTCAGGGGCACTTTAACCCAGGCACATTCTAGCTTCATCTCCCGTCGCCCTTATTTTTGGATATGGACCGTTGCTGTTTCCCCAATCTTAGGAAAAGAGTTTTATGAAAATTCAGTCTGGGGACGGCCCCATGTCTCTCTCAACCAGACTGTTGCCCTAAGAAACCCCTGCGACTTGCTAAGGCTATGACTGATCTTAGAAATCTTGTAATCAAATGTCCACATTTTACAGGAAAGAAAACTGTTCACATTTGCAAAAGTAGTAATGGCAGAGTTAGAACTAGAATTTTGAACTCCCACCTCCTGCCCTAAACTCTTTCTACTACATTCTACTATCTCATGCTGCTATCTAGCAAAATCCCTTCCAGTTGAAATACCCAGTTTCAGTTTTTCATGTGGCAAAGCATTGGGGAAATACCAAAAATGCATCATATGCTGAGCTTATCCATCACTTTGCCTGAAAAAAAAATGTGCTTGTAATTATAAAGATTGACCAAACAATGAGACAATGTACTGAAAGATTCCTCTGTGACAGCTGTAAGGAGGGCAAAAACATTTGTTTGTATAGTAGGATGATAGCATATTTATTTAGAGCAGCCCTAGATTTTGACTTTACCTTGGCACCATTTTTAAGCCATGCCTTTGTTTATTCTGAGAAATGTCCTCATTTGAAAGATAATTACATTATCATTGTCATTACAAGGAATTTCTAGCTAATAAGCAGCATTGTTCCAAATGCTTATGTTTTATTACTAGAAATAAATGGGGAGTGTTTGAGGGAATAGTCTATAGTCAACTTCTAATGCATGCTAGATTAAGAAAAATATAGTACAATTTCTCTTTGACTGCTCTGGGAGAAAAACCCTACCTCGGTTGACTTACTTGTTCAATTTGCCCAAACATTTCTTCAAAAACATTACTTTAAAATATTTCCAAGATTCTAAATGTCTGCTCATCTGCTTTCCATAAGCAAATTATAGTCTCATTTTAGAAGGAAATGTTTTGACAGAATGTGATATTAAATCTCATCAACCAAATTTAACTTGTGTACACAGTGAAGAATTTGGAATCCTTGTACACATTCGCACCCAAGTTTGACAGAACACATGCATCGTGCATGTGCATTTTTGAAATCTCTTCGTGTTATAATGTTTAGCCAAGTATGGGCTCATAATAAGGATAGGCTTATTACTTTCCAGATGTCACACGATGCCAGTTCTGCAGGGTGATAGATTTCCTGGTGTGTGCCTTCAGGTCACAGAACTCTTGAAGACAAGAAAGCGGGGTGTTCTCTCTTCTGAACTCCCCTTTTCCAACCACGATTCTTTTAGCCAGAAGTTGCTACAGAGATATCAGCCCAACAAAGGCCACTTTCATTCAGTACACACGAGAGTGGGAAAAGGCAGGCTGAGGGTTTCCAGTGGCTGCTATAACCAACACCGCAGCCTGGGTGAGTTAAACAACAGAACTTTATTTCCTCGCAGTTAGCTCTGCAAGGAAGTCCAAGATGGAGGTATTGGCAGAGCTGGTTTCATTCTGAGGCTTCTCCTTGGCTTACAGATGGGCACGTCCTCCTTGGGTCTTACATGGGTTTCTCTGAATGCGTCTGTATTCAGATCTCCTGATACCAGTCACAGGATGAGGGGTCCTCTGATGCCCTTATTTTAACTAAGACCCTGTGTCCAAACACAGTCCCCTTCTGAAATACTGAGGGTGAGAGCATCAGGCATGAGCAGGATTTTTTATTTATCAATATTAAAAAGCATTGTACATTGCTGCCTCCTGTACTTTTCACTTGCCACATTAGGGGAGGGAGGCTGTGGTGAGACAAGAGAAAAATTAACGTATCAGTTGGCCCATGGGACAGATGACAAGCTAGGAAACACAATCAATTAAACTTGTGCCTGAGAGGACCTCGGGATGCACTGGTGCTCAGTCCCAAAGGGAAAAAATGCTCCTACACTTACTAACTCAGTTCTGCTTATCCTCCAAGAGGAGGCGCAAGCACACCTCTTCCAGAAGACACCCTGACCCCCTTATTGGCCTCTGCTGTGTCCTGCCAGAGCCGCAGAAGAAAGGCTGTGCCAGCACCCTTCATTTCAGACATGTCTTGCTTTGTAGTTCTTCTCACTCGATGGAACCCTGGCTGTCTTCCCACATAATCCAAGTCTTTTCTTCTATAGCCTGAGTGGTGGGTGTAGTTTCTGACCCGTAGTAGACAGCAAATGAATAAGCGCATAGGTAACTTTTGCTTCCAGGGTTGTTTCTCCACTAAGGCTGGCTGACCACCCAACCACCCAGGAAAAACACAGGCCAGTCCTGGAGTCTACATCCAACACATACTCACGTGTGAAGTCAGCAGAACTGAAAAATGTCAACATGCTCTTGTGCATCGTTACTTGAAAGCGTCACGCACTGGCACACAGATGGAGATGACATGCCAATTTGTCAGGTGGTTTGTTTTTCACGACCATGAGGTATGGCATAAAAATGGGTTCTGAACACTGCAGCTCTAACTCTGGTCAGATCGCCTGAATGTGAGCCCCAGTTCTGCTATTCATTAGCAAGTGGCTTTGGGCAAGTAGCTTAACCTCTCTGTGTCTAGGTTTCCTCATTGGTATGACAGAGATAATAATAACAACATTAATAAACTCCACACAAACTTCAAAGGGCTATTAGGAGGAGGAGAAAAGTTAGTCTATATAAAGAACTTAGGCTAGAACCTGGAATGTAGTAAGTGCGACATAAGTGTATGTTACTAGTGCATTATCATCATTCCGTTATTACTAATAAAAAGGGAAGCCTTTAGCTTGGTTCCACCCTGTCATTATAATCCCAATCTGTCAAGTCGTTCACATTATTCCCTGTCCGCTTTTGTCCTGTGGACCAGGGCACCCCCTGCCTGGCTCGCCCCAAGTCTGCGCAGGACTGAAGCTGCAAACAGTAGCTGTCCAGGTCACATCTCTGTGGCCAACAGTGCCCTTTCCTTCTTGGCTCTTGTGTGTCCTGGAGAGTTTGAGGTAAAAATAATACGGTCACAGCGACCCGCCCCAGGAGCCACCAGGAGAAGGAAGAGGGAGGGGGTCGGGGGTGCACGGCCTGGGGGTTTTCCACACTGAGGCGGGAGCAGGAGGGGAGGGGAAGGGAAGGGGAGGCAGCGGATCCCACAGGAGCTGAAGGACAGGCAGGCCTGGCTGGGAGCTTTCCAATGACTCCCCTCCGTGAAAACAAGCCAGCCGCCCCTCCTCCCCAGCACCAGCTGCTTCCACTTCCTTAGCACATGTCCACTCACCTGGACTGTTTACCAACTCCACATCCAGTACTTTTCAAATAGAGGAAAACCTGGGCTTGTCCACACCACCCAGAGAGCAGAGATAAGGGGGAATCCAACTACAAACGGTGTGAAACTGTCCCTGAGAACGGGAGCTCCACCAGAACAACACATTTCCCTTCGCTTTTATAGCTTCCTGAGCGGCTGGGAGAACCCGGCTCCCTTGTGCGGTTGGTCACACCAGCCTAAGGAGGAGCTGGATACTATCCTGACATCTAGACTGAGCTGCTCAAGGAAGAACACACGAAAGGAGCAGAATTTGTAAACAGCAGCCCATGTGACAGCAGGAAAAATATCACACTGGAAAGCCTGACTCACAGTGAGAGGAGAGATTTTCAGGTGTGGATGCAGCTCTGCCACCTGGGAGCTGTGTGACCTGGCTGAGTTACTTGACCGGCTCTGTGCTGCAGTTTTGTCATCTATCAAGCGGAGAGGATAGAGCGCACCTGACAGGCTTGTGGTGAAATTCAGTGAGTGAATATAAAGCACTTAGAGTAGTTCTGTAATTTACTAAGTGCCATAGAAGTGTTTGCTATTTTCATTTTATGTACATGTAAGTTTTAAAAATGGACTTTATTATTCCCCTTTGACATCTGTGACAGAGGGTGTGTCATGGGTTACTGTTTAATATATTGTACCTACCATTCCTGATGCACTTTCTGCCAGCATGCATAACTATACTGATGCTTCACCCTCAAACCCTACAAATAATTGACTAAATACTAAGTATTAGAAAAGGCCACATGCCCAAACACATGGAATTCTGCAAATAACATGATCAATCAGAAGGACTGAGAAGTACCCCCTTTTCAAAAAAAATTTAAGTCCTATTTTAACCTTTGGAATTCTTCTATTTAAAACTTTTATAATATGCTGACAAACTAGAGTTGTATTAAAAATATGGGATACAAAGTGATATTATATATTTTAATACAATGTGAAATGATTAAATCAAGTTAATTAACATTTGTTGAGATGAGAACATTCAAAATTACTCTCAGCAATATTGAAGTATACAATACTCCATTAATTATATTTAACTATATTTATCACATGGTATAACAGATCCCAAAAATAATAAATAGATAAATTAATTAATACCTTCTTGATATTTCCGTTCTGGGGCTGTGGCCAAGGAACAGAATGGATTGGGGGAAGCAAATGAAAAATACTATGTGTATACAGTAATTTTAAAATCAGACAAATTAGTATTATAAAAATAACAGAGTAATCAGACTATTAAGCTAGAATTAATCTTTGGGTGGTAAAGATAAAATAAGAACAAATCTTACTATAGAAGAAAAGATACAGTTGGGTATAAGACCAACACACCCCATTATCCTTGGGATATTTCCATAGAGTCCACAGCCCGGTATGGCTAATAAACTGCCACAAAAGCCCCGCTTCAGGGGGAAAGGAAGACCCCTGATCTGCCACCTTTGTTACTGCTAAGGCAGTAGTGTCTTACACAAATATTTAAGGTTTTGGCTATTTAAAGACTGAGAAAATGTGGCTAGCAATGTATTTTATGTTCGTTTCAGGAAAATAAATATTCTTTAGGGGGTTAGTCCAACTGAAGCATCACAACATTAACTTCTGTTTGATCTTTATAGTCTTATGTTTCTCCACCCAACAGACACACAAGCATTTTGGAAGAATAGGTACCCTGCTAGGAGCTTAAAGTGTGAACTACATGATATTTCTGACAATTTTTGTGGATTAGATGCTCCTTTGAGAACAGATGAAGAATGGCTCAGGTCTGGTTTTGCCTTAGACTTTGCTTATCAGAAATCAGCTTCCCAGACAAGTGAGTCTGGTAGATCGCATGTCTCCTAGTCCCAGAGGGAAAGAGCCTGCTAGCAGCTGTCCTGTGTGAGGGAAAGGATGCAGGTGCAGCTCAGCCACCAGCGGGTCTGATACCAGCTCCATCGTCCACTCACTGTCACGAACAGTGCATTTTTTGGATACAGTCATCTGCAGCTGGGTGTGTGCCAGGTGCAGTTCTCAGCACTGGGTCTAGGACAGAGCGAGCTTGGCAAGTCCCTGTCCTCAGGGAGCCTGCATCCTAACCAGGGCATCAGAAACTAAACACGCACAACGACAAATATGAGATCGATCTTGGGAAGAGAGCAGTGCTATGAGGATGAGCTGAGAGGGCTTTGGGGAAGGGGGAAAAGGTAAGATATGTCAGACTCTAGAGGTCTTAGCAATGCGTTGTCCTTGGGGCAAAACACTAAGTATTCTATGAGGTTCTACAAGATCTGGTCACCCCTCAAGTAACACATCTGTCTTCACCTCCTGCTTCTCCTTCCTTTTGTCACTTGTCCAGCTGCACTGGGCAGAATGATCCCCTAGGATCTGCTGGTGCTAAAGCCAGGAAATTCCCATACAGGCTGAACCTGTGTATGGGTCATGCCACTGCCAGGAAATTACCACCAAAGGACTTGCTCCAGCAGTGCCCTTGCCAGAGTGCCTCTGTCTCAGACTGTGTCTTCACTCAGTTTTCGTGTCCCGCATCAGGACTGTCCTGACCAACCTTGCAACAGAGCCTCATGCCCACAGTGCTAATCTCCTACTTTACGTTTCCCTTCTCCAAGCCTCATCATGGGCCCACACATCCCATAACACTCTTACTGTAGATTTCAGGGTACTTTTGGTGCTTTTGCTTCCAAAGCTCCACCCCTACAATTCTACAGATCCTGTGCTGGGATGCTGAACCCCTTTGCCTGCTGATGAAGGCTGAGATGAGATCCCACCCTCCTCCCCCACAGGCAGGACAAGTCTAGGTTAAGTGACACTGCAGACTTCTGCAGGATCAGACCAATGCTCTGTTTTCAGGCTTTTGTCTGGAGTCCCACACTTGCTAGCCTTTTGCCCCTTCCCCTGCCCCTTCTCCACTCTGTCACTGGCTGCTCCTGGGAGCATTTCCTTAAATTGCTGTATCCATCTGCCTCTGAGGCCCCAACCTAGAACTAAAGAGCTGTCCCTGAGCAGATCAAGGGCAGTTCATCCCATACACTAGGAGGAGCAGGCAGCACAGTGTATTAGATGGTGTTTTAGTCACTTTCCTGTTATGGGGACAAAACTGCCTAACACCTGCAACTGAAAGGAGGAGGGGTTTATTTTAGCTCATGGGTGCAGTCCATGGTCAGGGGCTCCATGGCAGGAAGGGCCTCATGGCAGGGCCTGCACAGAGGAGAGCTGCTCATTTCATGATGGCCAGGAAGTTGATAGAAAAGGAAAGATCCAGACAGGGAGACACCAAGAGAGGTCAACCCCAGTGACTCTCCTCCCACCAAGCCCTACCCCCCAGCAGCACACTCAGCTGCTGAACTCAGTGTTAGAAGAATCCACCGACAAGCATAAACCCCCTACCATCCAATCAGCTTTCAAACGCCCCACCTAGGAGTACATGAGAGTTTGGGGGGACATTCTAGTCCTAAATTATAACAGATGGTCAGTCTGAGCATGGGTGGACAAGCAGGTACTATCCGGGTGTTTCTATGATCTTGTATTCAGATGGAAAGAGAGGGATGCTTCGGGATTCCAGGAACAGGAAGAACGAGTGACGGGGAGAGCCAAGGAAACATGAGAAGATTGCGAGGCAGTGTGGACCAGGGTTGTGAGTTTGTCTTCAGCTGCAAAAGCTGTCCTGGTACTGGCTTAGAGAAGTGGGAAGCTGACTTAACCAGGTGCAGGTTACTCACAGGTGACTAAGCTGGAGAAAGGCTAGTGGGTGTTTCAGATGCAAAGAAGGGAATTACACTGATCTAGTGACAAGGTGGGAGATCTTTGCAGTTACATAAGAAAGTGAGGACATGGTAGGGGGTGGCCTAGAGAAAGGGACAATGAGAGAAGAGAGTGGATCCTGATAACAGTTCAAGACCTTTAGGTTGGTGGTCTGAGTTGGTGATGCCGAGGAGAGGTGATGAGACAGCAGGGAACCCAGGACTGAGGTATAATTGGCACCCTGGGAGCAATGTCAGTTCAGAAGTGAGGGTAGGAGGGGGAGATGTGGAATGGGGTCAGGATCCCTGGCTATTGAAATTCTACCTATCTCAAGCTTAATAAATAATTCATGAAATAGGTTATATATTCCCCCTCCCCCCAATCTCTTATTTTTTGTTTTGTTTATTTGTTTGTTTGTCTGGGGGTTTTTTCCTGGCAAGGATTGGAAAGAATAAATGAAAGAGGAAGGAAAGAATAAAGCAACATTTAGAAGTTCTCCCCAGTCTATCCTCCCTGCCTCCCACTGAGCAGGGACACTCTGGGCCCTGGTGGTAGCCAGCAGCCCTCTCCTACATGTGCAGCTTTCAGTTTACCCAAAAATTCCTCAGTTTTTAATGTTCTGTCATAAGGTCCATTACTTTCTCATTTCTTTGATTTCTCCCAGGTTGTTTTTAGGGGAAGGTACTGCAGGCCTGTGCCTTGTTCTCAACACAATCAGACTTTAATCAACTACTGTACAGACCTTCTCAGAACATGAGGGCAATGCTTACACTCTCCCCCACTGCCACAATAGTCCAGGCTTCTGAGAGGAAATGCTTTTCCTTCTATAAGCAGGCTGGCACCTCTAGAGGCATTCAGGTTATGTGCTGCTATTCAGACCCCTATCCCCCAACTAGCTCTTACCAGCAGTGTAGTACCAAGGACAGACTAGAGCCTTCTATCCTCAGAATCTCCACTGGAAATTTGCTTCCCAGCGTTCACACATGCACATGCACACATAGGTGCACATGCACGTACGTCTGCATGGGCATGCACCTACAGAAACACACACCTCCACATGTACACAGACTCCCACAATCCAGGGAACCAATTTCCCATACAGAAGCATCAAGCATGACAACTAAAAGATAGAGCACAGATTTAGAAGTCAGGAGAAATGGACAAAACTCACCCTGACTCCTGGTTTTCTTAGGTGAGATATCATCTATACGAGGAATCCTCAACTGCGTGAGGGAGGAAGATAGTTTTAATATTTCCCCAAGGTCTTGTGTACACCAGACAGGATGGAAAGGAGAAGGAAAACGAGGCAAGAAGTCGGTTTTTTTGGACAGAGTCATCTGTAGGTCTGAAGGCCAAATGCATGGGTGCCCACTGAGCCAGCTGGGGGGCTACCAGCTGACTGCATCCACCAGCCTTAAGCGCCTCTGGAGGAGCTCTGGGCTTCTAGGCAAATGTTGAGGTTGCTTTGGTCTTTCTTGCCTCCTAGCAAGCGTGCATTGGGAATTAGTGGGCTACAGACTGCCGAGCTTATTCTTTTGTAAGCATACAACTCTGTAAACCTGGCTTTGACTGAAGATTTATTTATTTATTTATTTTTGTTTTTGTTTTTGTTTTTCCCTCCGGTACCGGGAATTGAACTCATAACCTTGCTCTTGCCAGGCAGGCACTATGCCGCTGAGCTAAATCCCCAGCCCCTTTGACTGAAGATTTATATCCACATGGCTGAAGAGAACTTACTGTGTATGGACACCCCCCGACACACACAAGTACCTGCTTTACCAATGGAGGGTTTTAAAATGATCAGAAAAGCATTAAAAGAATTTCTTAAGGAGCATGAAAACCGAGTGGTTGACACCATCACAAGTTAAGTTTTTCTCCAAGTGATATCATTATAGCAGACATTGGAAATAATGGAGAAAACCCACTTTTCTCTTAAACTAAAATCTCCCATTCTGTCTTTTGTGAACACAGCGTGAACGCTTCTTGATTGACTGCCAAGCATGGACTCACCCCCTCCTCCACACCAGTCGTGGATGTTGCACCAACTGAATGTACTTTCCAGTGTGCAACCAGGTACCTGTAGAGTCAACTCTCAATTATTCATGGTTCTGGTTAACTGTGTTCTGCCAGACACCTTCCACCCCCTCAACCTGCCCAAATTTTCCTTCCCATCTTCACAGTGCTGAGGTTTGGACATCTAATTGCACACCTGCCACCTGCCCCCTCCCAGGACTGGCCCCCTCTAGGACAAATGTCACATGAAGGAATGGGGTTTCGAAGGCCAGAAGAGGTTGGGGCGAGTTACTTACCACATTGGACAACTCCCATTATTTCTCTCCTTCCCCACTGCAGATAACTGGAATGTGAACACATACCCTGAACATGCTGCCTCCGGTCTTGCGGAAATGCCCTAGACTATATTATGCCCAAATTGTTTTCATCCTCAAACCTGCCACATGAGAGACACACAATACATGTCATGTTTTATGATAATGCTCAAATAAAGCCACGCAAACTTGTCTGACTGTCACAGTCCATCCCAAGTAGTATGAATTCAAGGTAAGTTGACTCATTTATACAGAACAATTCCCTCATTTCCTTTTGCGCAATTGTGAAGTGCTTGACATAGAGCAAGTGACCTTCACATAGGAGAGGGATTTGGCTTGTGCTGTCAGTGTGGATTTGGCAGCATGAATTAAGCCAAAGAATCCTGATTTCTTCTGCATGAACTGCTGACCCTGGTGCGGGGCCTGGAGAGCGGAGGGAAGGAAGGTGAACTCCTGCTGATTCAGGGCCCTCTTGCTGCCTTTCCACCCTGTCAGCAATCTCCACATCACTTTCCTCTCCTCCCTCTTCCGCCCCTCTGCAAGTCCAGTCCCTGGAAGCACTTTCCAGTTGCCAGGAATCATGAGTGTTAGGAAACAATCCAAACAAATGGGTGGCTACTTGGCTTCCCCAGATCCCATGGCATCACGCAGGCCTGGGTTTAGCCCTGGATCGTAGGTGTCAAAACAGCCTGGTACCAGGGAAGAATACCTGGGCCAAAAAGAGAAAATTTGGTGACTTCAGCACCAAGAAAAGTATGGCCAGGAAGCTGGCCTTTCTTTCAGGGCCTTTCTCAGTGAAGGCAGAAATGTTCTCCTGGGTTTCCAGACCTTTCTTGTGGCTCTATGTCTTGAAGCTCTGCTTCCTAGTGTTGGGTTGCTGGTCAGAGGCACCTGCTTATGGGACCAAAGACACACAAGCTCCCAAGCCACATCTTTTCAAGGGAATTGTAATGAAACGAGGAGGAAAGAGCCCAGAAGTCAACATGCTTGCTCTTTGTGGATCACAGGAAGCACCCTTAATACTCTGAGCTAGAGAAATGTCTTTAGTCTGGATTTCAAAACATCGTTAATGTTCCATGGTGCAGGAGGTATTTCTGATTCCTCCATCAGAAAGCCAGGCCCCCAGGCCTCCCAGGATGCCCATTGTTCTTGTCAATGCTGAGCAGGACTGGTTGTCGTCCTTCATCAGCTCTCTGACAGAGAAATCAGCAACTCTCTGTCAAGCAGTGAGGGACTCTGTGAGGTGAGCAGATGTGCTCATTTACATTTGGCGGAGCTTTGCGAAAGTGACAGGGTGCTGAAGCTTTCCTGATGGCGCTGCAGCAGGACATTTTCCCACTTAGCTCCTCTGAGCATCTCATCCTCCCAGAGCAGCTCCTGGGTGCGGTAGTCAGTAGTCGCTTGCTGACCCCCTCTGCCAGCATCCTGTCCTTGGTTATTCAAGGGTGCTCCCTGGATGGCGCACAAAGTGCCCTGTGTGCATCCTCATGCACTGTCACTGATAAGGCCAGTGTGTGGTGACAGTCCTCTCCACAGTTCATATCTTTGGGACTTACCCAGTGATTTGTGGGGGTGGCACCTGTCCACGCCACCTGTCTCTTCTTGGACACCTGGGCAGGTGGCAGCCTTGTTTTTCGGTGCACACATTCCTGAGTGCTGTGTGTCAGGCGGGCGTGTTAACTATATTTACCGCGGTTAACCAATAAGATGACCTATTTAAAAGTCGTCTGCATTTTTTTAGAAGAAAGAAGTCGGGAAATCTTAAGGAAACAAATTTACATTATGGCCTTTGAAAAACAAGCCAACAATAAAATATTTCCTGGAATGTGTTGGGTCCAATACCCATTTAACCAGCTTCTTATATTTTTATACTAATGTATACCCAGTCAGCCTACCTGATGTTTAGAAAGAATAACTACTTTGGGACTCAACAAACATCAGAAAAATACTGGTAAGTTCCATATTTTACCCTAAAGCATGAAATTGAATTAAGGTTTTAGAAGTAAATATCAACTAACAGAGGAACAGAGAGGAATTTCTTGGCATTCCTAGGGGAAAACTCATTTTCTGATGATGGTGGTCAGATTTCATTTTACAAGCCTCATCAGCACAGCCTCCTTCCCACAGTTCTGAGTTACCAGCCTCAGGATCAGGGGTGTTCCCAGAAGCCCAAAGTGGATTTCTTCTTGTCCTACGTTTATCTACAAGGACACAGCAGAGCCACTGTGGTTATACTGCCCAGTCTTACAGCAAGTAAACAAGAGAGACAGATTCTGAACGGAGGCATGCTTGGCTCCAGAGACCATGTTCCTGCTTTTAGGCAAAGCGTACAGCACAAGATTTCTGCTAAGTCTTTCTTTTTAACTTTAAAGTTTTCTTTTAATCAACAGGTAATAATTAAACATATTTATAAGGTACAGTGTGATATTTCAGTGCATGTATGCCATGCGTACTGATCAAATCAGCATACACAGATTTCTACTGCCCTATCATTTCTTTGTGTTGGAAAACTTTCTAGTTCTTCATAAAATATATTATCAGTCATTGTGAACCAGAGTCAACTATAATGCTGCAGAACACTAGACCTTGTCCTCCTATCTAACTGTGCTTGGGTTCATGTTATCCAAACTCCTTCTACCCACCCCTCCCTATCCTTCCTAGCCTCCGGTAATGCTATTCTACTTTCAAATCACCTTCTAAAGTTTCCACATATGCATGTGAACGTGTAGTGTTTGTCTTTCTGTACCTGCTTTATTTCATTTACTATCATGTCCCCAGGTCCATCCACTTTGCTGCAAATGGCAAGATTTCATTCTTCTTTATGGTTGGGTAATATTCCATTGTGTATGCATACCACATTTTCTTTAACCATTCTTTACCCATCTGTTAACAGATACTTGGTTGATTCCGTATATTGACTAGGGTGAGTACCACTGCAATAAGCATAGGAATGCACATATCCTTGTAATAAGGTGATTTAATTTCCTTTGTAATTCACTAGTTTTCAATAGTTTGTAAAAAAAAAAAAATATTTTGTTTACTTCAACTGTTACTGAACACCTGCCAGATCTTTGTTGTAGCACAAGTACAGAAAAATAAAATTAATAAGTGGGGTTCTGGGGGTACACACCTATCATCCCAGCACTCTTGAAGGCTGAAGCAGTACAGTTACATGTTTAAGCTCAGCCTCAGCAAATTAGTGAGACCATGTCTCAAAATGGAAACTAAAAAAATTGGTAAGGATGTTAAAAAAAAAAAAAAAGCCCTAGGTCCATGCAAAAGCCCTGGGTTCAATCCCCAGTACCAAGAAAAAAAGTTACACAGCTGTTTCCTTCACTTGCGCAAAAAATACCCTCTTTAGGGAGTCTATTGGAACAAATACTTTCAGAAAGTTTTCCTAATTACTTGAGATGTCCACTAGACAGTTTTCATTTTTTTTTCAGCCAACCAATTAACTATCAAAATAACACCCACAAGTTTGTGCTTTCAGTGTTCGTTCATGCATTTACCCCTGACTAAGTTTGCTTCTGGTACTTTTTTTTTTTTTTTTTTTTTTGGTTTTTCTCCGGTACCAGGAATTGAACTCACAACCTTGCGCTTGCCAGGCAGGCACTGTGCCGCTGAGCTAAATCCCCAGCCCCTTAAGTTTGCTTCTGAAGGAAGGGATCAAAGTGTCTTTCCTCACACTCTGAAGAAATGGCATTTGGTCTCATTACAGAGTTATGTTAGCTTTAGATTGCAGTCAAGTATTGCCATATATCAGACATAGAAAGATGCAAAACCAAACCTTGTGCCAAGATATTTTATGTAACAGGGTTGAGGTGTGATTTCTAAAACTCCAAATTTCACGGGCATCATGGCAATTGCTAGACAAGAACTCTGTAACTAGAGCTGGTTAGGTGAACAAACCTGCTTCACATTATAAGTTACAAAATAGATACCCATTGGACCCCTGAAAACGTTCCCAAAAGAAATGAGTGAGTGAGGTTGTGTATTTATGAACATTTTGGTGTTCTCACTCTTTCTGGAGCACCTGGTTGGGGGCTCTGTGAAGATCACACAGGGCATAAAAAGATTATTGTGTTTAAGCACTCACTAGGGTGTTTCTAGAATGTGCTTCTGTAGGTGAATAAAGGTGGTTATTGTTGAATCTCTCTTCACTAAAAAATATTAAAACTGATTTAGTAGGCTGGTTTGGAAAAGAGCCTAGTAAAATCTGTTGCAGATGAGAATTTGCTTTGAAAAGTTTCTCTGTCCAGAGAGGCCCATGATGGAGTACTTTCTTTCCTCATGGTATTTATCAGGCCACTTGAAATCTGTTATTGGACAAAATTTGGAATTAAAAAATTCATATAAAATTAAATTTAATAACCTATAATTCAGTAATGTCCACGTTCTCCAGTACCCAAAGTATTTTGTCTGTCACAAATCTATCAATAGTAACTATTTCTTGCAACAATTTTAAATCCGTTACAGATTTATGGGAAGAAATATTTATTTTCGTAGTAAAACTTTAGGTGTACCGATGGATGTGTAATCAGATGAAGAACCGTTTTAGCAAAGTGTGAATAGATTCACCGTGGAAAAATTGGGCTTTGGTTATTGCAGCCCCTCAGCCTGGGCCCAGTTTAATAACAGCACGGAGTTAGGAGGGACTTGAGATGCTGTAGTCAGCACACGGGAGGTTGCAAGTAGATCATACTTATTTCGCAAATCCTACGGTCAGTTGTCCACACCAGCGGGATCTGCATCTATGGATTCAACCCAACTTGCATCAAAAAGTTGTGTCTGTACTGAACATGTACATAATTCTTTTCTTGTCATTATTTCTTAAACAATATAGTATAACAGATATTTACATAGTATTTGTATTGTATTAGGTAGTATAAGGGATCTACAGATGAGCTAAAATATTTTGGCAGATGTGTCAGTGTTCTATGTGAATATCATTCCATTTTAGGTAGTGAATTTGAGCATCCATGGATTTTGGTATCTCCAGGGATCTGGGAACCCATGCCTGTGAATACTGAGGAAAACTATATTTAGATTACAAGACCACACTACTCTAAGTGCTTGGTACTTATTAATGTATTTGGGCTCATAACTCTTTAGCTCTTTCAGAGACAGAAAACTGAGGCAGAGAGAAGATACGTTGCTTAAGGTCACACACAACTGGTG